CCCCAAAAAAAAAAGGGAAAGAAATGTTTTTTGAGTTTCGTGACTTGTCGAAGATGAGTAGAACGTACCGGACACTATTTTTTTTAATGGAAATCCGTAAATAGTAACATTGTCGTGCCGCGAGAATGGTTCAAGTGCCTCATCGCCAACAATTAATGACCTTCTAGCATGAGCTCTCAATTCCGGAAATACCTCAAACCACAGGCTTTCTCGTGTTATTGGAGGAAATGTAGTTTGCTTTTGTGTTATATCTGTGTGATTCCTGGCTCCATCCACACGTAATGACAGACACGAACTGATGAATAGCTCACGTTGTGGTCCAAGGGAAGTCATCCGGGGTCAACGAGGGTTCTAAAGGTCACGGGGCGGAAGCCATTTTGGCGTTGAGGTTATTACTGTATCAATTGGTTGACCTTTTTGACCTGTGACCCGCCGTAATGGATGTTTGTCCTGAATTTACAATTACGCTTCTGTGACGTTTGGGGGGGGGGGGTGATCAATTTCTGTTGGCAGCTTGGCAATTACAATGCAGGTTCTGTACGAGCCGTGACAGTGAGCACTTTAGGTGGAGAGCGAGTGGGAGAGAGAGAGAGAGAGAGAGGGGGGGAGGGGTATGGGCAGGAGGGGGATGCAGAACGTGTAGAAATGAGGAAGTATATATATTAACATCTAACGGTTCTATGACAATTTGGGCGATAAATGGAAAAGGGAGAGTATGCGGAGAGTAAATATGGTTTGTGATTAACATATTTTTACAGATAAAGAAACAATATTATTCCTTTTGTAAAATCGTTTTCGACTTTAAATGTAGAGTGTTCTTAATTGTGTTGGCCTATATAATATACATATGTTATGAAGACACTGGTTTTACACTCCTTTATTCAATCATAAGCAAACCGACTATTTCCAACAAACAGGTGAAAGCATCAAAATCGTAAAAACCCAGAGAGAGGCTTCATTTACAAACCTGGTGGTGAGCAATATCGGTGATGACCTAGTTCTCTAAGCATCCCTACAAAAAAGAAGAGCCCCCCCCCCTTCCCTACAGAGAAAGTGAAAGCTATTAGTCACGGCCAGCTGCACAAAAGAGTTGACACAAAATCACAGTCTGGGTGAGCCGCTGTCTATTCAATAAAGCCAGGATTGTTGAACACTTTTGTCTCGCTGGCCGACATCAAGACCCCTGCTGCCAAAACAATATCATTCAGCCATCAGGATGCCTGTACAGGGTAAATAGGGCAGAAGGACAAAGCTGGCTTAATTTAATGTATACATTCATGCAGAGACCCACGCCGGTACGCGCATACACATATATTATAACACACGCGCTGGGCGAGTACTCATTCAG